TAACCAAAGAGTATTTCTCTTGGAATTTTAAGGGGCCTGGAGCATCTAAACTGTCAATCTAGAAGCCAATTCTTTCCTCTTTCACAGGCTATTGTGAGATCCAGTGAAAGCTGAGACAGATTGAGAACTTGTGCTGCCTGAAGCTGCTGTGGGCCAAGCTGGGTTGTGGCTGAGGTATATAGCCATCATGCCAGGGGACAGGGGCTTTGAAATAGGCATATTTGAGACACACTTGAGATGCCCCCAGTGATGCTGCAAGACATTTGAAAAGGTCCCTGTAAGTCCTTGAATGCGTGACTCATTCATACAGGAAATATCTCTTCCCTGCTCTTTTTGGTTTGAGGTAGGGGTGTGTGTGTGTGTGTGTGTGTGTGTGTGTGTGTGTGTATGTCTGTGTGTCTGTGTGTGTCTGTGTCTGTGTGTGTGTACCTGTGTGTATTTGCATTTGGAGACCAGAGGTTGATATCTTTTTCAATAGCTTCTCTGTCTTATTTTTTCGAGACAAGGTTTCTCACTGAGCTTGAAGCCTGTCATTTTGGCTAGGCTGGTTGGCTAGCAAACCCCTGGGATCCTCCTGTCTCTGCCCTCCAGAACTGGGGTTACAAATGCCTATGCTTGGCTTTTACATGTGTTCTAAAGATCCAAACTCAGGTCCTCATGCTTGCCCAGCAAGCACTTTAGTCACTAGATCATTATCTCCCCTGCCCAGTTGCTTGTGGTTTGGGGGACAGACTCACTTTTTACTTTAGCCTGGAGTAGAACCTACTATGTAGCCCAGGTTGGCCTCAAACTTGAAGCAATCCTCCTGCCCCAGCTTCTGAGTCCTGGACTTACAGGCACACTCCCCATGCCTAGCAGAAACATTTTCTTACTATGCACATCTACTTGTGATGCACCAATGTCAGACCACCCACCATGCCTGGGCCAGTCAGACACCTAACCTCTCAATCTATACCAGAGACTCCATACCTCTTCTCTTCAAATCTCCTGACAGCTATATGAAAACAGGTGCCACTATACCTAATTCACAGCTGGGGGATGGAGTTCTCCAAGAGTCAAGTAACTTGAGCTCTTCTTCTCTTGAATTGCCTCAGCCTTCTAGATGGGAGAAGAATTCCAAGAGCATTTTCATAACTGACAGAAATGATTTTAATAATGTTTGCCACCCAGGAAACCCTCATTCAAAGGTTCCCAGGGGACAATATAGACCACAGGCAGGGATCCATTGAAGACAACCAACAATTCTAGACTGGATAAATTCATGGCCTTTTATTAAAAATGGTGCTTGGGTCTGGTGACACTGCTGGCTATTGGTAATGGAGGAGGCTGAGTACTTAAACCTGTTAAGAGACATTAGCAAACAAGATAATAAAAGTTATTTGTTTAGTATATATTTAAATAGAATGAGAAACATGGGTTCTAGAGTTGGGCTGCTGAGTCTCAAAATCACACCACCCTTGGCGAGCAATGTAATGTCTTTAGTTGCTCTCTATCACTTTGGTCAAATGAGGTTAGAATAGTACCTATCTCAAAGCATTTTGGGGAAAAGAACTCAAATGAGTTAATACATGGCAAAGCTTTTAGAATACAGGAAGCACTCACTAAACACTATCTGTTAGAACTTCTGCGTCACCGCTTTCCCAGGCAACGACTAAGGAACAGGCACTTGGGTTCCCATTTTAACAGAGTGGTTCAGTCACTAATCCAAGGTCACACCGCTGTAGATGGTAAAGCAGGACTAGGACCCCAGGTTACCCTGAACTGGAATGACTTTCCTTTTCCACTTCCTCTGAAGACCTTGGAGAGAAAAGCACCATCGACTCAGAGCTTTTCAATAACCAAGTGGGCAGGGATGACAGATGGAAGGGACAAAGTGGAAGCATTCGGCTGATATGGGTGATTCAGGAAGACTCCTGCAGAATAAAGCAAACCCTCCCACCCTACAGCAAGCATGGCTCTGAGAGGGTCAAGAGCATCCCACCCCCAGGCCCCAGCAGGTAGCTCGGAGCAGTGGGAGGCAGGACATGAAAAAGAAGGCGTGGTTCAGGAGGCCAAGAGACCAGACCTTCCCCCAGAACCAACCTTTCATTCGCAGCTGCGCTTAGCTCCTGCACAGGGCTGTTATATTTTAGGAATTAAAAGCTCTGCCTGGTAAAAGCACCAGCCGGCATACACGTTAGCTGAAAAATGTGCCGTCACTGGCCAACTTCCCTGCCTGCTGCCGGCACCCCATGTTCAAAGGCTTCCCGCCTCTCGGTGCTTAGGGTTCTTCTCCACCTTTGAGAGTCGGCTCAGTTTCAGAGGCTAGCTGAGGACAAAGGAACCTCTGGCCTGTTTGTCCTGTTGAGTGTTTTGAAAAGAATGTTCTCAGAATAACCAGCTCACTCTTGAGCGTGCTGGGCCGGAAGCTTTAGCCAAGCCAGCCTGTTCATATCAATATGTTCATCAGCAGGGTTGGTTCCAGAACAATTTCTAGCAGGGGAGCTCACCCAGCACAGCCCCTAATGTGATCCCTTTTGAAAGCACACTGGAGCCTGCACAGACTTCACTCACAGTTCACTGGTTCACTATTTAACACCACAGCAAGGCGCTGGGTTTCCTCCCCACAGGCAAAGCCCAGGAGATAGCGACAGCCAGAGGTCAGAGTTGTCTGGCCGGGGAGCCACAGGGCTCCTATATTACAGAGCTGATCCTCCACTTTCTGCTCTGGCCAGCACCCTGGGAAGATGCTGGGAAGGAAAGGAGGTGAGCTCCTAAGGCAAGTAGTGCCCTACCCACCAGGAAATCAATAGAAGACTGCTTGCAAGATGCAGCCTTTCCTAACCTCCACCCCACGTAACGTTGACAGTCATTCGAACTTGATTTCATCTGAATGCAGACATGAAGGAGGAGTGGGGTAGGGCAGAGTAGGCAGAGTGGCCTCCACACCTCTGAGAAGAGGGATGCAGTGTGGTAACTGATAGAGCCTCCTGTGCCCCAGGGAGAGCGGGTTCACAGCCTACCTCCGGGTTTACTACTCATTCATAAGTGCATCATTTATAAGATGCAGGTAAAGATGTCCAGCTTCTGGGGTTGATGTCATCATGAGAAAAATGAGGTCATAAAGCAACTGTCACCCAAAGGGCACCCACAAATGGTTGCCTCCCTTCTCCCTGCACTGCAGAGGGGTCGCCTCTGGGACTTCTAGGGGTGGGCTACTATTTTATTGCAGTGGAGCTGAAAAAGGAAGCTGCATATCCCGCTCAGATGGGATGTCAGAGATAAGCAAATGAAATGGAATAACCTGAATCCGTAAAGCCATGCACATTTTCTAATCTGTGCTCTCCCTCTCCCTTGGCAGAACCTTCTGAAATAGAGAAGAATAAAAGTCATCCTTATGACTTTGCACAATCTGGTGGAGGGGGCAGCTTTCAGTACCAGGATCTCCAGGCATTCTTCTATGATGCTGAGCAGCCTCCACAGATTGCAGATAAGCCTTCCCTCCCAGTCAGGCCGGCAAACTCATCCCAACCCCTGCCTACAGAAACTCAAAATCACTTTCTGTCTAGGTGCCCTGATATACTACCCAGGCTCCCTCAAATCCCCCTGCTAAGCCTCCTGAAATCACCAGAACCTCTGTTCTGTGCATAGCAATGAGATATCACAAAACATTGCCACACAAAGGTTGTTCTTTCTAGAGGACAAAGGGGAAAAAAATGAAGCTCTCAATAAAGGCTTTTGGAGCCACCACTCACAGCCTCTGAATCCCTTGGCAGGTGGAAGGCCTCTCCTTTCTCCTCCAACTGCAAAGGCAGGTTTTGAGGTGCACGTTACGCAGAGCAGCCTAATACTGTATTCTTCTCCTTCCCTACTAGCTGAGCCTAGCTGCTGTACTCTGGATTTGAGGCTGATGAAGGTTGAACTCAGGATGGCTCCATCTCCACAACCTAAGTGAAAGGGAGATCTGAGGTCATTACCAGAATGAACCAGTGAGAAAGAAACCACTTAGTGTTGAAAAAGATGGTGGGGGGGACTGCTTCAGCTGGTGTCTTAGCCCCACCTTTTTGGCTATCCAGGGAGATGGTAAAATACATGATCACTTATATGGTTTGTCCTGGGTGGCTCCCTGGAGGAAATATCAAGTCCCTGGAATAAGACTAATTCAGAGCCTTCTCCTAAGCAAGGAGAGGACATACCCTTCTCTCGAGTCTGGCCAGGGGCCACTGAAAACTCTAGGGTCCCCAGAAAGAAGAATTCTGCCACTTAGAGTTCTGGAATCTGGCTGAGCAGAAATTTCCAGATTTCAATTGTGCTCACCCAGGCACGACAAATGGCCTCAGACAGCCTTGAGTTTGCTCCAGCTCCTTTTACCAGTGGACAAGTCCTTATTTGACTCCACAGTCTACACCTGCACAACCTCAGGACCAAGTGTGGTTGTGGGCTGGGTATCCATAGACAGATGGGTAAACTGTCACATCCCCCACTGGGGTCTCCCCAAATTAACAAAAAATAATAACACATTGGAATAGTTCTTGACAATGGCAAAGAGGCTGGTTCATGCTCTCAAGGAATTCTGGCCTTACAGTCACTGGACCTGAGCTAGGACTTGACCCTTCCACCTTCTGGTGTGAGAGCCTAGGCAAGCTCCTCTCCTTCTCTTCAACTTGACTGCCCAGATGTGGTAAGGGAGATGATAAGAATTAACAGAGTGTAATATACATCCCCAAAGGGCGTCTGGGTCCCTGTCTCCAAGAAAGGCTAGAAAATGTGGCATTTGCTGTTCTTACCACAAATGGCTGCCAAGTGCAGGCAATGCAGGAGGCTTTTTCCATGGCCCTCAAAGCAACTCTGAAGGGTGGACTGGAGAGACATCTTTTGGGTGTGTGTGACTGGGCCAGATTACTCTGGTCTTTACTGGGGAGCCGGTGCAAGGTGGCAATGATCTATGGTCCAAGTCCTGTTCTCAGATTACACACATGGACGCGTGCGCGCGCGCGCGCACACACACACACACACACACACACACACACACACACACTGTTTGGAGCACAGGAGCTGGTCCATTCTGCCTCCTGGGAATGAAGCGTTCTGTCTCATTTCCTGTGGGATTGACACAAGAGTTGCTAGCATGGAGGGTCCCACTGCCGACTTGTATTTATCTCAGCTACCTAATAAAAGATAAGGGGGAAGCTCCTCCTCCCACCCGGAAAGATTTAACTATGGCACTTTCATTTGTTTCTGCCAAAAAGCAGGATGGACTGGAGGGAATGCTCCCGAGTAACCGGATTGGATGTGGGTTTTCATACCTTGTTTCCTGGATTCCTTGGGCCATAAAGGTACTGCCAGCTGCAGGGTGTGATGTGGGGCCTGGGCACAGGGACTCTGCATTTCTCATTCACTCTGACCTTCTACAGCTCTTCTCTGCAAGGATAGAGGTGGGAGATGAGGTTTCTTTATGTTAGGCTTCTGGGGAGGATTTGCTCTGAAACAAGGATTTACTCCTAAAAGATCAAGATTTGTCTTTTTCAGAGCCTCTGAGAACAGAACTTTGACTTCATCTTTGAGACTATTAGGCACAAAGGTGAATAGCTTTGTTCTGAGCTAGTGGTAACCATCATGCCTCCTGACCTACCCAGACATACATCAGGCACCTGCTGTATACAGAACTCCAGAGAAGGTGGCAATAAATTTTAACACTTAAAACCTAAAAAGAAGCAGGGCAATGACCCTTGCCCTTTGAAACTTTGGAAGGCAGAAAAGACACCCCCAAAGGCAGAAGAAAGGGCCAACAAATGCTAATTAGTGCAGCCAACCTGGCCTTCAGGCTATAGTACTTGACAATGATTTTCCCCATTTATTTATATTCCCCTCCTCCTAACAAAAGATCATTTTCCAGGGAGCAAATATTCGCACATCTGCTAAGTCCTTACCATACACACTAGACAACAGAAAGTCTCATACTCCCAGGGGAGCAAGAACAGTGGTACCAGCATGAGGTCATTAATTTTCCCTGAGGAGTATCAGAGAAGGTGCCACAAATGAAGTAAAATTGAAAGGACAACAGCTCTCCATAGACCTCTTTCTATTGCTGGAGATACAGAACAGAAGCCCACAGGACACTCCTTGGAAGGGCAGCACAGGTGTAAAGGGAAGAAACATCCCACCTCAGGCCTCCTGGAGGGAAGAGTTTGGCCTGGGTATTAGTGGAAGAGTCTGGAATGGCTCTGAGGAGAAAGGAGTGTGTCCAGCCTGGGACCCCGCCAGCACCAAAAGCAATTAAGTGAAGAAGCCAGAGGGCCTGAGGCAGAGGCTGGCAATAAAGGGAAGTCCATTACGGTCCAGTAGAGCCAAAGGCAGGAAGAAGAATGGGCATGAGGAAGACCTGGGAGAAAGAGCAGAACAGCTGGAGGCCGCAGTGGCTCACATCTAACACAGCTGGGGTGGGGGTGGGGATGCTGTCTCTGCCAGTAATGCACTGTCGAAAATGTGATTGTGGTGAGCCACATCTTCCGTCCCACCTCCGAAGTCCAGGGCTTCCCAGAGCCTGCCTGGAGAAACCTTGCACTGCCCTGGTTGAGGTGGAGGAGACTTGGGCCTGGCTTGGCCTGTCATGTATGCCTGCCATCTGGACCCACATCTGGGGCGTTTGGAAAGGTGATAAGGGCACTGACTCCACACCCATGCCTGTACCTTCACAGCCGGGTAGAGTCGCACATACATATTAATTCAAAGGGAAAGGAGAAAGCACACGCTTACACACCCAACTCCACATACTGCTGAATCCCCAGGGGCTAAGGGGAACCTGGGTGTCCCAGGTTGGGAGGAAAGGTGACTGGAGACGCGGTTTCTCTTCCGTCCTCCGGGGGAACCCTTCCCTCGGCTTCCTTCGGTCTAATAATGTGAATGAAGAGCGAGAGAAAGAGAGCGCGCGTGAGCGCGGGGAGGGAAAATCCGGGCGGGGGGGGTGGAGCAGGCGGAGCGCAGCAGAGCGCCCAGCCGCTCCGGGGCCCAG